CGACCAGGACGAAAACCGCATTGTTCCTCCTGTATCCGAGGTTCGAATGTATAGAAAGCTTATTTTGTCCTCAACTTAATTAATTTCACTGCCTCCATGTCTCCTCTCCTCGACCTTTGCATTCCATTACTCCATTAAGCAGAAGGATGATGTCCATCTCAGCCACTGTGTTCAAAACCAGTGTCCACTCCTATGTATTTTTATTGGATTTATTTTATGCATTTATGAAAATGCATCAATTTCTTAGAGAACATAATTACACACTAATCAGTTTATATTTATGAGTGAAGTATGCTTCGTTTTTGTTTGTTTTATGTTGCTAAATAACTTCTTCTTTTCTTTTTTTTTTTAACGGCTGGCCACTGGCTGTACTTTTAAAGAAAGTCTGGCTCCTTGAAAGAAAAATATAAAGAAATTAAAGGAGGCTTGAGACTTTTGCACAGTACAAATTAAATTGACTTGTATGGCAATCAAGTAATGGACTTGGTGAGTTTGTTCAGCCTACCCCATGAACCATCGTAGTGCTGGCAATGATGCTCTCTGTCAGTGTTTTCATTGGTGCAATTTGAATACCAACTTTTTTTGCAAGGTAAATGCATTGAAGTATTTGTATCTGTCAATCCACTGTCTGTGTTTCCTTAACATACTTCTCAGTTCTTCATTACCTTTGAGCAGCTGAAGAAGCTCCCGTTTTAACAAGAGCCGGTAGTGCGACTGTGTGGGTCGGTTGGACTGTGTCAGAGATAAGTGGGGCATGAGCATGGCACCAGGCGATTTGGCAAATCTATATTTACACTCCCTTTGAACAAAAACCAGTTTCATTTCAAGTTTGTTTTTGTTTTATTTATTGTTACTGATTCTGTTTTAAAGACTGCTGTGGTTAATGATTTCGCTCACCATTTCACACTCCTCAGGCAGCTAAATGCGTAGTTCTAGCAAAAGAGGGAAAGCTTAGAGGACAATGTGTTTTGTTTTGTTTTTCTCAGCTGATGAGAAACAGATTAGTGTGTATTGCATGACTGGATTTTTAAACGTGGGCTTTCCGAGGACAGAGTTATTTGCTCAGGATTCTTAGACACAGCTGATGCACGTACGGAGGAAAAAGGGTGTTAGATTTTAAAAAGAATGTGTAGAAAGCTTTGTTTTAGGGGAAAGATGGCGCATGAAATTTGCTCAGAAAATCTCATTTTAACTGCTGAACAGAGGAATGGCGTGAATGAGTGGTACACGTGACAAAGTGACTCTTACTGGTAGTCACAGTAATAAGAGAGATGACGGTACAACAGAGTTGACACTGTTACAGAGAGATGATGGCTCTTCCACTGAGCTGTCTCTGTGGAGTTTGGTGGAAAATAACCCAACACATTGACTTTTTTTTGTTCATCTAAAGGTTTTTGTTATTCATTTGTTCTGTTCTGTTGTTTTACAGTCAGAAATCTGAACCATCTGAGCCTGTGAAGAGTAAATAGCACATCAGCTCTTATTAAGAAGTACTTGATTCAAAGCAGCAGCCAATCCTTAACAAAAAGGTTTGTTTTGTTTATTTTTTCAGTTCTGTTCACATCCATCTGAATCAGTATTAGGATGTAGTCGGTGGTGAGCAGAGTTTGCTGCCACACAAACAAGAGAACAATCAGTACATAGTGTAAATGTATGTACAGACACATTCACACTCAGAGGTGGATGTATTTTACCCGAGGCATGTTCCTGTACATACAAGGCCTTATCTTTCCTCTTTTAACCTCAGTTCCTGTGCCAAATTGCGTCCCGTCCCGAACTTGCACTTGGTCTTTGTAATAAGTCACTGTAGTTGATGTAGATTACTCGGTGACATGTGCACATTTGTAAATCACATTCTCTGAACTCCACCCATGTAAAACAGACTAGTCATATTTACATTTATTTTTAACTGCTTGTTTAAATTTTATTTAAAATAAACTTTTTTTTTCCTCATTTTGTGTCTGGTTGCTGGTCAAATTCAGTTTTTTTGTTTTTTGGGGGGTTTTTTTTGCTTAATTTATCAAAATCCTTTAGCAGCACTGTTGTAGGCAGCCGTGCTCTTTAAGTTATATTTGACTAATATTTCATAAACCAGCACCACGTTGGTCACACTCATCCACATAGCTGTGCCATCTTTCTCTCAAATGCTAAAAAAAACCTGATTGGATTTTGTGAATCTGTTTCTTCTTCTAATTGCATCACTCTGTCTCCTCTGGTTTTGATTAAAAGACGCACACAGTGTCCACTGGTACTGAATCTCTGCAGCTGCAGAAATGTTTTTGTTTGTTTTTTCGTTTTTTTAGGCTGCATTTGCACTACGTACAGTAGTCCTCCTTACCTGCCCTTTAATTACATGTGCTTAATAATCTGGCCCTGAGAGCGCATTACTTTGTCTCAGCATCTCAACTCTTCTCTATCATGGTTGCTTGTCTCTTTCAAACACCTTTGGGCAGCACTCTTCCATAGGAGCATTAGGATCATAATTTTATGCATCTTGTAGTTTAATTGGAACAATTTGTTAACTGCGTAACACAATTTTCATAAAGGCAGCTGTTTAAGTGCCCTGCTTAAGCCTGGGCCTCTGTGTACTCTAATGATGCTAATCAAACAAACGGGGCACATGGCACCCACCCAGTTCTCCTTAATTGAGCCTGACTTTAGAATCCTAAGTAAAACAGACAGTCTTCCAGTGTAAATGCTGTCGTCCTGTGCACTTTTTTTAAAGTGACTAATAGTGAATGAAGTTTTCCGAGGAGCAGTTGGTAGGTTTTACCTGTCCTCAAACTGCTGTAGCGTTTAATTTCTTTTCCAGTTTGTGCTCCAGAGTTTGTAGTGAGCCGTTTCACTTCGCGTCTTTGTACGTCTAAGTGTGACGTGCTGCTCTCAGAGGTCACTTTAAAATAGGTTTTCCTGGAGTCCTGGGAGCGTTGTGCTGTTACAGCCTTACGCCTGTTAGAGATGATATTCTGTAATTATATTCTTCCAGTCCTGTTCTGACAGCTCATCACTGCACTGAGTGTACTGAGTTTTGCACTTCAGTTTTATTTATTGTCTGCACACTGGTAATCTGAGTACAAGGTTTAATCCACGGAGTGGGTTAAAGACTCAGGTGGAGATGCAGCTACACAGGGATGTTTTTCATAACATGGGTACATCTGAAAACAAAGATTTAGCTTCAGTCTACACTGAAGTAACAATACTGCAGTTCTAAGTGTGTTTAATAATTTATTTTATTAAAAAATATCAGCAGGGAATTCTAGGCAGAAGTGCAGACCTGCCTGATTTCAAACTTGGGTTTTTGTTTTGTTTTGTTTTTTTAAATTAAATTGTTTTGTTTCCTCCTCAATAACTTCCATTAATATGCTGAAGTACTATAAACATATGCTACATTATATGTTTATAATGCTTTTCTTGGATGGAAACCTTTGATGTGCAAACAGCATTTTCAGATGTACCCATGTAAATGTGGATAATATTGAACATTTAGTTAATATACAATTGTCTTCGATTCATTCAACATGATACACGTAAACTAATATTTTTTTTAAAATGATGAAATTACTGGAAAACCAAATTGTCATTTGGACTGAAGAACTTTAACTTTAATTCTCTTTGGACAAACTTTTTCAAGCTGTTAACTTGGGTAAAGGATGGTACACAAAAATATTATAATTACTTATTAAATCTGAGTATAACGGCTACTTTTTGCACATTGTTGTGAATGTAAATGTGATTGTGATACTCAGACAGGTAAATGATGAGGCTTTCTGTCGTGTACTTATTTATGAACAGAGCTGAACTGAACAACAGTTGAAGGTCGGCTCATTTAAATTTACAGAACACGTTTTCATCTCACTCCTTCTAATGTTCTGTAAAACCAGGAGTGCTGACTGACATTCGCTCTCATATTTCATGTTTCCACGAATGTATGTCACAGTGGGGTAATTCACTTTCTGCTCAACCTGTTTTTCTGCTTTCCAGTTTCCCCTGTGATATGTCTACAGTTCAGATGATGAATGCTCATAATAAACATCAGCAACATAGAAATAATCCCTGTAATCCGAAACCCCGGGCTTCAGATTGCTCTAAACAGCAAGTTTCACGTCTTTTTGTTTGTTTTTTAATTTTTTAATTTTTTTGGGGTTGGGGGGGTTCTCCTCAAATTTAAATGAATGATGTCAGTCAGGGTGGATACCCCAAATATGGTCATCTTAGGTACAGGGCTCTGGCTGTGACCACAGAGGCCCCACCCACATGCTGTGTGTGTGTGTGAGGGTAAGGAAATTTAGAGGGTTTGATTCAGACACAGGATGAATTGAGGGGCTGAGCAAATGTCCAGTCTAAGATAAATGGGATCATTTAAATTGTGAACTGTGTAAATCCACTCTAGTACAGTCCAACGGTAAAACCACGGAGCTGGAAATTCACTGTAATGTTCTGTGAACTGTTCAGCTTTTAAATGTCCAAAGGTTTCTCTTCTTTTCTGATTGTCAAATATTTAGAATCATGATTGTACAGGATCATTTTATGTTTGAAGATGACATTTCAATTTTTATTTTTATTTTTTGGCTGATCTTATGTGACAATCTGTAGATTTGTCTATTTATTCGACTCTCTTCAGTTAACCTGAAGTCAAGACATGTTTATTTTATTTGTTTGGGTGATTTTATTTAAACTGTTCAGGTGCTGTGTGTCAAGCACATTATTTCACATTTTCGGGCCTAGTAATTTTTCCCACGGTGTGTGCCATGTTATTATTTATTTTTACTCTTATTAACAAAACTAAAACACTGTTACACTGACTTAACGGCCAATAATTTAGTGTTAAATTTTGGGCATTTGGCATCAATGATCTTTGTGATGCAGGGGAAATGGGTTTTTCTGGACACGTAGTGTATTGTTTTTATTGTTTAGTCATACTTCATGAAAACATGTAATTGAAGGTTGGATTTCATCTATTAAAGTTCTATCAATGTTTCTTGTCCTGATGGGTCCGGACACACTTAAATTTCATCATTTTACTGTTTAAAGTAACTTAATTATGAAACTTTGTAACTGCCAAATTTTCAAAGTGTGAAAGCAGAAGAAAATCTTTATTTTGTAAGTGTTCTCTTCACTCCCACTGATCATTTGCACTTTTATTTGTGATTAGCTTGTATCATTGCTGTATAAAGACATCTTTCTTTTTTCCTTTTTTTTTTTGACAGAATATAAACTCACTGTTCACTTATTATTAAAATATAAGCTGTGATTATTAATTTCCTGTATTTCGTGTGTTTGTCAGTTGATAAAATCTATTTCATGGATTTTTAAAAAATATTTATGATGAATAAAAATGTATGCAAAAGTAGATGATATAAGTAAATAACAGTAACTTTTTATTAGTATTGGTAAATATCATTTGTTCTCTTGGGGGAGAAAAGTTAGAAGTTATGTGCTGTCACATTAATACCACATCTAAGAGTTAAAAATAGATATTTAAAGTTTTAGGCAGGTGAAGAAAAAATGCTGTAAACAAAGAATGCTTTCAAAAATGGAAGTGTTAATCATTTATTTTCATTAATCAACAAAATGCAGTGAAGGAACAAAAGAGAAATCTACATCAAATCTATATTTGGTGTGACCACCCTTTGCATTCTTCTAGGTACACTTGCACACAGTTTTTGAAGAAACTTGTTTGGTAGATTGTTACAAACATATTTGAGAACTAAACACAGATCTTCTGTGGATGTAGGCTTCCTCACATCCTTCTGTCTCTTCATGTAATCCCAGACACACTCGATGATGAGATCAGGGCTCTGTGGGGGCCATACCATCACTCCCAGTACTTCTTGTTCTTCTCTATGCTAAGGATAGTTCTTAATGGCTTTGGCTGTTTGTTAGGGGTCGTCATCCTTCTGCAGAATACATTTGGGGCCAATAAACAATCATTTATATTTCTTAAAGCATTCTTTGTTCACAGCATTTTTTCACACCTGCCTAAAACTTTTGCACATTTGAGAAAAGATATTTATATAGAGAGCAAGAGAGTGATATCAAAGCATCAGCAACATGGAAAAGACTAAAAACCCAACGGTGATGCACACAACTGTGAAGCTTACTTAGGTCCCCAGTGATACATCATCAAGGTTCAAGGACTGGATGAGGGATGGGGTAAGTGAAACAGAAAAAAACTAACAAGGAGACAATCCCTGTTTTATTAGTGAGGTTAAAAAGAAAAGCAAAAATGTGTTTTGAAGTAGATTGCATGACTATTTGTCATGTTGAAACCTGAAAATACACAGATTCCCTTGTTAATAGGATAGTTGACCGATTAATCAGTTTATCAAGAGAATAATTTCCAGGCCTACTTAGAGGAAGGTTTCACTTGCATGTACAAAAAAACGATCTGTGTTTGTTTCACTCATTTTCCCAAAATTGAGGCAACAACCTTGGACCTGTCTGACAAACTGTTTGGAAAACTTACATTAGTATCTCACAGCTGTGTTCCCCGCCTTCCATTACAGTGCACAGAAAGCCTTCTGTGCACTGTAATGGTTTTTGCCAGGCCTGTGGCACAATTGCTTCGCTCATGTATGAAAAGACATGACATGGCAGACGTGTTAATTTATCACGTTATTCCTTTCATCTTCATTATATCACCGTATATAGTCAGGTGACAAAATGGGCTGTTTGTGAACACCAAACAAATGAATAACATTTCTTTTTCCTTGCAAGCTACATATTCATTGTATAAAAATAAATAATCAATTACAAGCATGATTAGAGTCACATATCAGCTAGTGTCTGGTTAAGGCCAGCTTTTTTTCTAAATAGCAAAATAGGCTCGATGTAATCGCCAGTGTTGGGAAGGTTACTTTTAAAATGTATTCCATTACAGA